GGGTGGGGCCACTCTGGTAGCATCTTCCTGCTATAAAGTCCCCAGGCTGGAGCTCAGCAGTGTTCTCAAGGCTCTGGAAGAGAGAGCTGAAACCAAGGGTCTGCAGGGTTGTGTTCCCATGGTCACTTGGATGTGACCCTTGGCTTGTAGATGAAATCTCCCCTGTGACCTCCCATGACCATCCCTCTGTGCATCAGGGTTCTGATCTCCTATTCTTATGAGGACATCAGTCAGATTGAGTGAGGGCCTCCCGGCTGAGCCCGTTTTGTCCTCTAGAAGGCATAACTTAATGCCATTCTCATCCCAAGGTCCTAGGGTTCTGTCTTCAACAGATGAGCCAGATAAGGACATGGTTGGGCCCCTGACACAGGGCTTTAGAATGTAAAAGGCTGAGTGGCTCTGCCCTGGTAACTCAAGTTCAAACACACCTCTCACCTCAGGAGGAAGCAAACAGAATCATCTGACCCAGAGCATCCTATCTGGTGGGGGAGACAGGCAGTACCATAGGGTGATCAATCAGGGCTGTGAAGAGGAGACCATGGGTAGACCGGAGAAACCTCTCACCGTGCATGAGGGTGGGAAGTGGCTTTAAAATGTGTCCTAAGCAGGTGACATCTGAGTTGAATTTTGAAGGTGGGTGGATGGCAAGGAGAAGGAAAGGCCATCTGGGTCCTTGTCCGTGCCAGCCAGGCAAGGCCGAGCTGCTGACAAAGGAACCCTGGAAGTTCAGCCCAGGTTCACATGTCAGAGCCTCTGGTACAGCTGGTCACATGACTCACTTCTACAAGGGAAAATGGGGACTGTAGGCAGCCGTATGAGAGAGTTGCCAAGGGAGGGCCTCTTGCTGGCAGGAGAACACAAGATGGCTGGGAACTGTAGCCCTGGGACTTGTAGCTCTGCTAGAAAGTCTACAAAGATTCGCTCAGTCCGGGGTCCATCACCCACTACTGGACTGATGTCACGGCTGGAGAACAGACCCATGGAAGGAAGAGAACTAAGAGTGACATACTGTGCTTCCCCTTGAGGAGGCGTTGACTCAGGATAGTTCCTGTCGTTTGCTCTCTAAGAAACTGCCTGTCCCTCCTGCCCTGCTTCTGTGTAATGTGGAGTGCTTGCCGTCTGCTTCCTTTTGGGGAAATGGAGCAGCTGTGTCCTCTGAGCCTTACGCAGAGGTTGCAAGCTGTCACTGTCCCTGTCACCAAGGGAGGCTGGTGAGGGCAGTGAGCAGGAAGGAGACCTGCATATGATGTACTAAGCAGGGTGGGTGGGCGGAGTCCCCTCTTGACTTCAGAAATCCTCTGCTGGGGCTTCAACATCCTGATCGTCATTCAGGAGCAACATTTGAACTTGTCCTGTTCTATTGGCCACGTTACTTTGTAATGAGCTCCTTGAGTGTGTTGTTATAATGCAATTTTTAGAAGTGTAAAGCTTTAAAACATTTTTTTTAAACACAGGGTCTCACTATTTAGGAACTCACTATGTAGATCAGGCTGGCCTCGAACTCACAGAGATCCACCAGCCTCTGCCTCCTGAGTGTTGGGATTAAAGGAGTATACCACCACACCCAGTTTAAGTATATTTTAAAAAAATTCATTTTATTTAATTAAAAAATTATTTTCTGGGGCTGGAGAAATGGCTCAGCAGTTAAGAGCACTGGTTGCTCTTACAAAGGACCCAAGTTTGAGTCCCAGAACCCACATGGCAGATAACAAACCATAGTATCTCCAGTTTCAGGGAATCTGATGCCTTCTTCTGACCCCCTCAGGCATTGCATGATGTGGGTGCACTTACATACATGCAGGCGATATACTCATATACAAAAAATAAAAATGACAAAATCTTAAATTTAAATAAAATTTATGTGCATGAGTATTTTGCCTGCATATGTGTAAGTGCACTGTAAGGTGCCTGTGGAGGCCAGAAGAGGACGTTGGGTTCCCCGGAACTGCAGTTACAGATGGTTGTTAGCTGCCATATGGGTGCTGGGAACCAAACCCAGGTGCTCTGCAAGAGCAGCCAGTGCCCTTACCGAGACACCTATCCAGCCCCTATTTTATTTTCAATTATGTGCATGTATGTCCATCTGTGTGTGGGTATGTACATGTGAGTTCAAAACCAGGGCTGCAGGGAACTCCAGTGATACAACACAGGTGAGCTCAGCTGAAAACACCGCACATTAATTATGTGTTTGATCTGAATTACGTTTCGGCCATTCCACACTCACACATTTTTTTTCCTGGCCCCCACATTTAGTTACAGGACCCCACGTGGGGGGTGGGCAGTTGTTGAAGAATCTGTGCTCTGGAGGGATTCTCCGTGTGGTTAGATGGGATCTGCCCATTTGTAGTTTCCTACCTGTTGCCTTGTTCTCTGTTACTGTTTTGTCTTCTTTTTTTTTTAATTAAAAAATATTGTTTTATGTGTATGCATATATTGCCTGCATGTAGGTAAGTGCACCCGTGTCATGCAATGTCCGTGGAGGACAGAAAGGCTGTTGGATCTCCTGGAACTGGAGTTACAGACAGTTGGTAGCTGCCATGTGGGTGCTGGGATTCGAACCCAGGTCTTCTGCAAGAATAACCAGTGTTCTTAACCACTGAGCCACCTCTCCAGCCCCCCAAAAATACTTTATATTTTTATTGTATGTGTATGAGTGTATTTCCTGAATTATGTAAATATGCCCACGCCCTGCAATGTCTGCTGAGGTCAGAAGAGGCCATCGAATTCCCCTAGAACTGGAGTTAGGGATGGTTGTTACCATCTTGTGGGTGCTGGGAATCAAACCTGAGTCCTTTGTAAGAGCAGCCAGTGCTCTTAACCATTGGGCCATCTCTCTAGCCCCCTGTTTTGTCTTTTAATTTCTGCCTTTGGTAGTTTGTTTCCATTTTCTTTATGGGGCAATCAATTTGTACATTTCTTCAGGCTGTCTTAGGAGCCACCTGGAGTTTGCGGCATGTAGTTACAAATAATATGTCGTTTCAAATAGCAACATAGTAACTAACTGTTGTGGTACAGGGACCCAAGTGTCCTGTTTCCTTCCATCCCTGGTGGGTCAGATCACTGAACAATCAGAAAGTGGAAGCTTTTAATTTGTGTTTACTCAGCCTTGTCCAAAGCTCTTCCTTTCTTTATGTAGATCAGAGTTTAAAAATGTTTTTGTAGTTTTCTGTTTGTCCCATTTGATTTGAGCTTTTGACCTTTATGTCATTTTACTGCTCTTGAAAGAGTTTCTTTTAACGTATTGTAAAGGGAAGTCTGCATGACTGAGTCTCTGGATTTTTGTTTGTGTTGAGTTTTCACGTCTTTGCTTTTGAAGTTTGTTTCGCCTGTGACTGAGCTGCAGGCTGTTGTTCCTCTCTAAACGCTCTTTTGCTCTACCTGATTTCTGAAAAGAAGTCTGCTGGGTTCTTAGCCCGCTTCTCTACAGCAAAGGTATTTCTTCTTCTCTCTGTTTTAGGATTTTTTTTCTTTATTGCTGATCTTCTGCAGTTCCAAAATGATCTACTTCAGTGCAGATCTGGTTTGTGGTTTGGTGTGTGACACTAATTCTGGTAGATTACACGCGTCGCTTCCCGTATTCCTGCGGTCCTTTTATTCTGGTTCCCAGCTCACAGACGTTTCGCTGCTGCCCCACGGTGCAGGGCGGTCTGACTTTCTGCTTTTGTCCCCCTTCCTTCTCAGTTTGGGCACACTCTGCTGGTGTGTCTGTGAGCTCACCAACTCTCTAATCTTGGAACGCACTATTGACTGGTGCATCTGTAAGCTCACAGATTTTTTGTTTATTTTTTGTTTTATTTATTTATTTGTTTATTATTTATTTCAGAACACTGGACAACAGTGACTGAAGCATGGGAGGGTTTATTTTGCTCACAGTTTGAGGGTTCAGTCCATCATGGTAGGGAAACATGGCGGCAGGGGTGCGAGGCCTCTGTCACATTGTGTCAACAGAGAGGACAGAAATCAATGGTGGTAGTACTCCACTCAAGTCCTTTTTAATCATTCTGAGACCCCAGCCATGGGACAGTGCTGTCTACATCCAGGGAAACCCAATCTAGAAACCCCCCTCTGTAAACCTAATCTAGAAGCTGCTTCACAGATATGCCCAAACGTTCGTTTCCATGGTAATTCTAGATCCTGTCAAGTTGATAATTGATACTATCACAACCTCTTAGTCTACTAAACACAGAAGGTACTGTGGGGGAACAGACCAAGCCCAGGCCATGTGCATTTGAATTAACATCCTAAGGCAGAAATATGCAGGTACGAAGTAAAATTATAGTTTGTCATGAAAAGCAGCAGCTGGTGAAGTAGGGCTGGGGACCGGAGACGGGCATATTGGCTGTCACAACATGTGCTCAGGTTAGAGCAGGTGTTGGGGTTGGGCTGTTACTGCCCACTTCCAGCTGGGGACCTTGACCAGGTCAGCACCCTCCACCCTTATCAGCCGTGTGACCCTGCTAGCACTCAGCTGGCATACACCTAGTTTCTTCATCTGTAATATGGACAGCATCATTTATCTGATATGGGAGGATCCACTAACCCTATGAGGCCTAAGCTCCAGTTTCAAAGTGTAGTCCTGATCCTGGGGTGCTGAAGGCTGTGCAGATGCCCCCCTACCCCTTGCTCCCTGCTCTGCGAGGTGCTTCAGACTCTGGGGTGAGGTCCTGGGCTGCCTTTTGAAACAGTACCCAGGTGACACACTGAGGTCTGCACACTGTGGTCCATAGCGGTGTAGATTTGGAGGCTAGGCCTGGAGCAAAGCTATGCAGTATGATCCTCTGGGGACATCATTTTGGGACTTGCTGGAGATGTAGGGCAGGCTGTGGGGGGAAGGGGGAATGATTCTGCTTATAACATCTTGCAAGTGATTCTGAGGTAGCCCTGGTGAGCTGAGCTGTGACAGATAAGTCCCTGTGGGTGGCAGGCCTCCCCTGGGTGCCCAGGCCGGCAGGACACCTGTTCCAGACCATATGCTGACTCAGTTTCCCTTCTCCCTCCAGGATTGCAGGTGATGCTGGTGTACACAGCAGAGGACTGGAGCTTTGTGCGGCTGCTTAGCATGGAGCTGGGACCTGTGCTTGCTGGTGCGTGGGCGTGAACCTCAAGACCTCAGCATCTCAACCCAAGAGAAACATGTCTAAAAAGGGCCGGAGCAAGGGCGAGAAGCCCGAGATGGAGACAGACGCTGTGCAGATGGCCAACGAGGAGCTACGAGCCAAGCTGACCAACATCCAGATTGAGTTCCAGCAGGAAAAGAGCAAGGTGGGGCTGGACCTCCGGTTCCTCCTCTGGCTGGGACGTGAGCACCGAGGGCCCTGTTCTGTGCCCATGTAGTGTGTGTGTTCCCAGGGGAGCGTGAAGGCACTTTTCTCTGGACCTCAGCTGCCCCTCCTGGGAACAGCATGGGCCTGGTGGGATTACAGGAGGTAGTCTTCCACCGGGAGCTCGGGCTGCAGGATTCTTCACCCTTCACTTTCCCCTCCCTTGCAAGATGGGGGTTGCAGTAAAGGTTTAAGGGCAGGGCTGATCCCTGGAAAGAGCCAGGCTCTGTTTTGTGAGCTCTCTCTCTCTCTCACCCCTGAGCCTGTCAGGTCCATGCCTGGCTGGGGACCTGCATACTTTGGGAGAGCAGTTAAAACACAGCCATGATGCCCAGCTGGGAGCCGTGGGGGCAGCCTAGCTTTTTGGTGTGTAGACCTGGTGATCACCTTCCTCAGCTTAGTCCCTGACTGGCTTCATGATCGTAAAATCTCCAAACCCTTGCTCTGAGCTTGCAGGTGACGTATTAGTTTGAGGCTATCCTAAAGGTCTCTGATGTAATCATTACACTGGAATGCCCTAGCACCTCTGATGCCTCGGCACCCCCATGTCGTTATTGCTTTGGGGGGGGTTGCACTCAAAGCCTGGGAGGTACTCTGTGATTCTGCCACAGCACTCGGAGCACGGAAGGGCCCTGCCCAGGGTCTGCAGAAAGTAGCCCGTCTTGCTGAGTGCTGAGGCTCAGGCAGCAACTGAGTGTGTGAATGAGGTCCAGCTTCCCGATGGGATGGTGGCTGCACAAGGAAGGCCAACTTCTAGAGCTTAGGGACAGCACAGCCTCCAAACCCTGGACCTGAGGAGTTGGGGCCTGGTACAACTAGCCTCCTCCAGCTGTGACTGCTGGTGATGCCATCTATATATGCACTACTCAGTCGGCAAGGGTGGGTCAGGGGCAACACTAGGGATCCTTCATGGCTGAATTCCTAGGCTTCAGAGGCTGGTAGGTCTGACCTGGGAGGAGCAGCATTAGCTATGGTTATGGGGAACCTCCCCCCAAGCCAGACACCAGGGCTCCAAGTCACATCCACCACCAACTGTAGAGCCCCAGGTCCTCCCCTGCCTTAATTTATCTAAATGTTACCAGAGGCTGCAGGAGTGAAGGAGACAGTCATAGGCAGGACAGAGGTGGACTGTCACTCTCCTTCCTGTGTCCATCAGGAGGCTGATGACCCGTGAGGTCTGCTGTGGCCTTCCCCACTTTAAGGATGAGAAAACTGAGGGTTCAGAAGCAAGCCTGCTGGTGATGTGTCCAGGTGAAATGGCTGACCTGAGCTGCTGGGGCAAGGCCCCTTCCCCTGTGCCGTTTGAACAGCAGAACTGACTGGCTCGCAGTGAGAAGCCTTGAGGAGAGGGTGGCAGGACTGCCTCCTCCTGAGGCCACACCTGGCTTGCAGATGGTCTTTCCCTGTGTCCTCACACATGGGTGTCCTCTGGTGTTGTGTCCGTAGTGCCTCTTGTTTTAAAGATCCTAAGTTAGATGGTGGCTTAGTTTCATTTCTGTTGTGATGAAACATCCTGACAAAAGGAACTTAGGGAGGAAGGGTTATTCAGCATACAGTCCGTCTGTCATGGTGGGAAGTGACAGCCGCAGGAGCTGGAGAGAGCTGGTCACCTGACACTCACAGTCTGGAGTAGAGAGAACAGAATGACTTAAAACATGCCCGTCAGCTTGGTCTCCACACAGTAGGCGGATCTTCCTACATCAGTTAACGTAATTAGAATGAAACCCCGCAGACATGCCCAGAGGTCCATCTCCCAGGCGATTCTAACTTCTGTCAAGTTGACAATACTACCCATCACGGGTGGGATCAGGACCCACTGTAATGACCTCATCTTACTCTAACTGCCTACAGGTCCTGTTTCCAAAGGTTTTGTCATCCTGACACCCGAATGTTAGGACTTTAGCATGTCCATTTGGGGGATGTCTTGAGCCCTCGTACCATACCAGAGCTGGTGTAACAGGTGCTGAGGTGGAAGGCAGGCTTGTGGGAGTCTCCCGTCACCAGGCTGCCTCCCAGCTCTGGGACAGGTGGAGATCTCTCCCTGGCCATGCCCTGGCTGTTGTCTCCTCCTGTTTACCCGTCAGCCATCGGGACAAGCTCTTTCTCAGAGGACTCTGCAGCATGCCTGCTGGCTGGAGGGCACAAATGTAAACTTCACAATCACATTTAGGTGTGATCTCCTATCAACCCCCAAGGTTTATGGTGTTATGTTAGCAGATGACCCATGTTAAAGGCTGCACAGTAGGGAGGGGTGCGGGATGTGTTCATTTCTGCCTTCATTCTGCATGCATAGGTGAGCCTCTCTTGAACTGGGTGACAAGCACTTGCAGTGACTCAGAAGCAGCCCCTGTTATCAGCAGGTGCTACAGAGATGTGCAGGGAGCTAGAGGGGCCACAGGGTCTGGCCCATGCCATCAGAGGTCTCAGTGTGTGCAGAGAAAGCAGGGCCTGTGGAGGCTTCAAGAGGCAGTTTTGGAGCTGACCCTGAGGATTTTGCTGTCTGGAGAGGAAGCAAAGGTTTGCACAGCCTCAAGGGTCCAGCAACCCCCATGAACAGCCTAAACACCAGCTGGTGACAGGGTAGAGCGGGTACCAGCCTGGGGTGCAGAATCCCCCAGCCTGAGGTGGTGTGGGGAGCAAGGCCAGTGGCAGGACAGGCTCTGCAGGTTCTGGTTGTAATCCCATTCACCTGCCAATGATTCAGTCTTACAGCAACCAGCCCATAGTGTCCACCCAGGGCCAGGCACCAACCTGGAGCTGAAGAGGACTGGACCTTGTTCTGTCCTCACTGAGGTCACTGACATCAGTGGGTAGGGTGGGAGGGTTGGAATTGGGGTACCATCTGAGTGCTGATGGAGAGAACTGGGTAGGCTTCTGGGAGCCCAGGGAGGCACATACCAAGTGCCTACACAGCTTCCTACCTCAGGGGATGCAGACAGAAGGTGCCCAGGAGGAGTGTACATGCAGGCCAGGCGCTGCTGCACAGAGTCTAGCTAACGCTCCCCATTGTGGCTGCGATGGTTGGGGCTGTTGTTGATGCTGGGATTATTTATAGCCTCCACCAGGTGGGCAACTTCTGTTCTGCCTTTAGCTTGGCCTACAGTGAGTCCCCTGTGGGCCCCCATTGTCCTATAGGTCACCATTCCCAGGAGACCAAGGATTCTCTTCTGGAGTTTCATAGTATTTCTTTGGCAGTGCATAGTGCCCAGAAGTGTAGCAGGGGTGGTTGTGGTGGGGGCTGGGCATTCTGCCTTCCATCATGACAGCAAAGGGCTCAGGGGAGCTGCCAGTGAGTGGTCTGGAGCCAGACCCAGCAGGAACTGGAGTAACGCCAGGCACAGGGATGGGTCAGCGTGTCCAAAGCCCCTGCACGTCCAGGCTGTTGGGCAGCAATGTGGCTGCAGCTGAGAGGTCAGAGCTGAGGGTAATGGTGGTCCCATGGGCTGGGGGAGAATTCAGGTTTGTTTGTTGAATGATGTGAAGATCTTGAGGCTTTTTAAAATTTTAGACTTTTATTAATTTGTGTTTTTCTGTCAGAATGAACCCGGGAGTACTTAATGCTGCATCTCACACTGCTTCTGTACGACTTGGGCTGCTCCAGCTTCAGGCAGGGGGAGCATATTCAGTGGTTTCCTGGTTCCCTTTGACAGAGCCAACATTATAAACTTAAAATTTTTCTTTTTGTTTTTGAACTCTTCCTTACCTTCTGCCCTGTTGTATCTGGTTCCCTCCGCTCTCCTCAGGCAGAAATCCTACACACAGCACCTCTGGTTGGTGGTCCTGCGCCCAAGTGCCAGGGACTGCTGGGCTGGGCGGAAGACTCAGAGAGGCTTGTACCGCTGAGCCCTGAACACTAGAGGCTCATGGTCTCAGGGGCCAGAGGCCAGAGTTTATAACTCTGGGTGCCCAAGTTGGAGGCTTTGCTCTGGGTTTTGATCGCCAGTGCTCAGGTACTTGGCAGCTAGCATAATCTCAGCTCTTAACAGTCGGTTGTGAAGGCAGCAGTCAGTACCAGCTTGTGACACAGTTCCCAGGCCCTGGGTCTCAGACCCTCAGCAACTAATAGTAGCTGGAATCGAAACTCCCAGACCTCGGGAGTTGGAACCCTCAGCTCTCGGGGCTTTGTAGTGCTCTGGAGCTCTGCCAGCTGCTCAAAGCCACACAGTCTCTTGCCTTTGGCTCTTGCAACCTGCCACCTTCTGCTGTATTGGCCTCTGCCTTCCATGTGTTCTCACTGGCCTGTACTCTCTCCCCTGCCTCTGCTCCCCACAGTCTTTGTCCCAGGGTCTCCCAGTAGCCTCAGCTGGCCTAGAACTTGCTATGTAGACCAGGCCGGCCTTAAACTCACAGAGATCTGTCTGCCTGCCTCTGCTTCCCAAGTGCTGGGATTAAAGGTGTGCAGCACCATGCCCGGCCCCAGCTGCTTCTTGATGCTGCCACCACCCACACCAAAGCAGCAGCTCCACCACCTCTGCTGCTGCTGTCACCAGCTTAGCCTGGTCTACTCATGTGAAGTTCACTGATAGGCAAGGATAGACTTCTCAGGAGAACCTCTTATGAGGCTTCATGTTGCAGGGGGCCACGTCTCCTGCCATCTCCTGCTGGGTCAAAAAATGAGCTGGAAGCCTGGTTATATAACCAGAAGGGGGTATGACATGCAAATATGGGATTATAATGTGCACCAATCACAACAAAACCTCCAGTGCCAGCCATCAGTCAGTTTTTACCCACTCTAGCCGTGCTTTGCTCTCGTCACAAACTGCTGCATCCCTGAGGGAAGTGCCCTTTTGAGAGTAGCTGCAGGGTCATCAGTGTCCCTGTGTTCACTGACGCCAGTGATGGCTGATTCCTGACATCTCCGACGTCCTGTCATCTGTTCTGTGGTCTTGGCTTTTCCTTGCACGTCACACCTTGCCCTCATAGGGGTACCCTAAAAGGGATCTCCCCTGGTTACACGTCGCCTGGCTTCCCAGACTTTCCTTACAAAATCTAGGTGCAGACTTCCATGGCTCTTCAACTCTTGTACTCTGCAAGCCTGTAAGACCAGCACCAACACACAGTGCCAAGGTGTGCTGCTAGTTCAAGTAGAGCCATGGCTGCTGTAGCCTCAGTGCCTGGACAGCTGGACTAGGAAGGCACTTCCCTGCATAAGCTTGCCTTATGTGTCTCCAGCTGCTTGCTCATCTAAAGGGAAAGGGACAGTCTTTCAAATGAACTTATAGTCTCATGCCAGGAGCCCACTGTGGGTGGGACCAGCTTGCTCTTTTCACAGTGCCACACTCTTGGTTTCTTGTTAATGATGGTGATCTCTAACCACCACACGCTCCTTGTCCACAGCGTGCAGATTTCTCCTTTTTCAGCCAAACTCCTTGCTTTCCACATCTCCCTCTCTGCCTCTTATTCCCCATTTCCTCTGTAAACCTGACTAAAATAAGCCAGCAACAGCCATGTCACAGTCTGAATGGTGTGCTGTCTTGAAACTTCTTCACCAAATTAATTAGCCTGTCACCTTTAAACTCCAACAAAGTTTCTGGATGCGGGTGAAATGTGGACTGGTTCTTTACTGGAATGTAACTCAAATGGCCTCTAGCCCAGGTCCTGACAGTCCTCGTCCCCATCTGAAGCCTCATGAGCACAGTCTTTCCAGCCTGCCTCTCTGACAGCATTCTGGTCTTCCCAGCTCCCTCTAGAACCACCCATCAAGCTCTGCTCACATCTTCTAGAGCTCTCTGGCCACAGCTCCAAATGCTTCCCTATTCCTCTCACAAACCAGTTCCAAAGGCTGAAGAACCATGTGGTGGGATTTAGTCTCAAGTGACCCCTTGCCCCTGTTCTCCTGTGTTTTCTGTGTTAGCTTTTTACATTTATAAAAACAACACCTTGCAGAAACAACTAAACACAAGGAAATCTTATTTGGCTCATGGCATCAGAGGGCTCCATATATCATGCTGGGAACACTGTGTTGGGGCAGAGGAGCTCACATCAAGGCAGCCAGGAAGCAGAGAGGAGGGAATTGATGGTGTTCACTGGCTTTTCCCTTCTGCCTTCTATTCCATGTAGGCCCCAGGCTATGGGATGACACCAACCCAGATTCAGGGGTGCCTTTACCCTCATTTGATCCCCTCTAGAATTGCCCTTACAGGCATATCCAGAGGTGGGCCATACCATTTCTGAGGTGATTCAGGTTGACCGTGAGGTCTGAGGCAGTTGTGGTTGGAGCAGGAGTCCTGACTTGGCTTGTGTTTGAAGTGTGTGCTTCTCAAGGCATCTGTGCAGTGTTTGAGTCAGCATCCTGGCACTGCATCTGTCTGGAGAGCTGGAATTCTGGTTGACAATTGTGCCACGTTTCTGTGATTGCCTGTGATGTCGGCCAGACAGTGATCACATGCATCTGCCTTGGGGTTTCTATTTTGCATCTTTTCCTCTAGTTACCAGGAACGGATGTGCCAGTACCAAGATGATATCGTACAACACACCTAAAAATAATTTTACCCTAGTCAGTAAATGATGTGGTCTGAGGGAAACATTGCCATTTTCATCGGAAGGCTGGCTCTTAAGAGGCTGTTTGTCTTAGTTCTCTGGCTGTTATGAGAGCACGCAGGGAGCATGAATGCCCCTGTGCAGTGCACCTCTCGGGTATTTGGACTGTTTAAATACAGTCCACTGGTGCATTTAGCAGACGACCGGAAAGGCTTAGTGTCCAAAAAGACTCAGCTCAGGCTTGTGGGTGGGCATGGGCTGAGCACAGGCCCTGGGACCAGGTGTTCCCCAGAGGCAAGGCTCAGCTTTGGTGTCTTTGTAACCATACACAGACACACACAAGAGAGACAGAGAGGCAGAGAGAGACCGACCCCGGCTCTTAATCCCTGCCCTCTGTCCAGTGTCTCAGGCTCAAGTCGCCTGCCTGGGGGCACTGGAAACAGACTTCTGTTTAGAATCTTCGAGCCCTGGTGGTAGTTTTTGTAGTGCAGGCACCTGTCCCTCTTCATAAATTTCAGAATGGAAGAGGTGCCAAAGGCTTGACTCTAGGGAACATCCTAGAAGAGGGTGGGGTGGCCTGTGGGGAACTGGAGGGTGGAGACTGGGAGTCCCCCGGGGCTCCCCAGCCCTGACCCTGACCCCCCCCTCCCCGGCCCTGTTCTGGCTGCAGGTGAGCAAGCTGCGGGAGCGGCTGCAGGAGGCCAAGCTGGAGCGGGAGCAGGAGCAGCGGCGCCACACGGCCTACATCTCGGAGCTCAAGGCCAAGCTGCACGAAGAGAAGACCAAGGAGCTGCAGGCGCTGCGCGAGGCGCTGATCCGGCAGCACGAGCAGGAGACGGCACGCACCGCCAAGATCAAGGAGGGCGAGCTGCAGCGGCTGCAGGCCACGCTCAACGTGCTGCGCGATGGCGCGGCCGACAAGGTCAAGACGGCGCTGCTGGCCGAGGCCCGCGACGAGGCGCGCAGGACCTTCGACGGCGAGCGCCTGCGGCTGCAGCAGGAGATCCTGGAGCAGAAGGCGGCTCGCAAGCAGGCGGAGGAGGCGCTCAGCAACTGCATGCAGGCGGACAAGGCCAAGGCCGCTGACCTGCGTGCCGCCTACCAGGCGCACCAGGACGAGGTGCACCGCATCAAGCGCGAGTGCGAGCGCGACATCCGCAGGCTGGTACGTGCCCGTACGTGGCCTCACTGCCCCCCCACCCCTGGCTGCCTGCAGAATCCCCCCCCATAGGGCAGTGCGTGCGTAACCCCCGGCACGTTGGAGGGTCTGGACAGCTGGCAAAGTCCTGGCTGTCCCCAGGTGGTAAGTAGGCTTAGGGTGGCAAGTCTGTCTTAGTAGATCAGCAAACCGCCAGGAGCAGTTTCCACCTGGTACAGTGGGGCTTGTGGATGAAGTTTGGGGGTTGTAAGTACCGACCATGACCGCAGCTGAATGCTGGAGGGTCGGTTACTCATACACTTGAACTACTCATGCACCTGAACCAAGACTGGGTATTGCTTCCAGGTGAGATGTGGTGGGTCCACCAGGCAGGCCAGCTGTAACCTGGGGGCAAGTGTAAATTGTGAAAAAAACAGACTTTTGAAGATGAGGGTAGGGGTGAGGGCTGTGAAGATGTGAGGTCACTTCACTGGGGGCCTAGCAGTCACCACCAGCGCCCCCACTAGCGGTCTGAACCTGGGCAGGTGGGGGATGGGCTTCCCCAGGCAGTGACCTCACTGGGAGAGCCATCTCTGCACTGTCAGAAAAGAGACATCCTCAGACTGAGCCAGCTCACCCTGGTAATAGTCTTCTGAACCCTGCAAGGATGTGGGCGGCCAGTGAAGGCCTGCAAGGCAGAGTGACACCTCCCAAAGCTGAATGAACACAGGGCTCTGTAGAGGGGTGGGGATATAACAGAGACAGCTCTGCGTCCCTCAAGACCCTGGTCAGCCTGCATCAGGGTGCTACAGGACCTGTTATCTGAGGTTCAAACAGCATGGAACAGTGGTGTTGATGAAAGCCATGTCTGAGGTGGAGATGGCACAGAGGATTCACCATGCATGCACTAACCTAGAGTGCAGCCACCCTGCCCAGGCAGATGCAAGGGATGAAAGCCGTGCTGAAGGGACTGTTACCAACAGTAAAAGTTTTGGTAGAAAAGCCTAAAATATGTAAAAGAAAACTATTTTGAAGACTAAAAGGGAGACAAATTCACAGTTATGGTTGGAGATGAACCTCCTTCAGCCAGTGATGGGGCACGCAGGCAGGAGGGAATAAAGACAGGAAGATTGCAGGGTTTTGCCACCCAGCAGTACACCCAGGCCATTCAGCAGCGGTAGAGCGTGGCTCTCTGCCAGCGGACATCACACTTTTTATCATAGTCGGCTCTGCTTCAAAATTTGTGGCTCATCGTTACATCGGTCCACGGAGCAAAACTTGTGGACAAGAAGAAATCCTGGAAATCACCATGGGAGCTGCAGAAAAAGAATGGCCAGTCAAACTTCCAAAGTGGCTGGTGAGATGGCTCTGGGTGGGTGAAGCACTTTCTGGGCAAGGCCGATGACCTTGTTAAAGCTCTGTAATCCACTGCCCATATATCGTCCTCTGACCTCCATGTGTACACACACATGTGTGCACATACATGCATATACTAATAATGAATACAGTTTAAACACCCATAAAGTAGAGGGAGGGAAATCATAAAAAGCAGGAATCCAAGAAGTCCAACCAACAGAGGAAGCAACAATTTCACAAGTCTAAAATCCATAAACCAGTTCCACTCCTGAAACACCGATGGAGGAGAAATGTGACTAGAAATCACCAGTGTGGAGGATAGAAAGAGGACACTCAACGGACACCAAAGACACCGTGGACAGCGCAGACAGGTAGTGTGGCATGGGACTGAGAGGACATGGCATTTTCTTTGAACAAGCGTCCTAAGACAAGGAAACTCAGTCTGTAATGAATAGTCTTTTTGCACACACAGAAAAGCCCTGGCTGGGTGTCTTCACAGGTAGCTTCAGCCAAGTACTCAAGAAAGAAGGTGACTCCTAACGGTGCCAGTCACTCTGCTCATTGCTGTGACCAAACACCTGACAAGCAACCTGAGGGAGGGAGGGTTTATTGTGGCTCACAGTTGGAGGGTCCAGTCCATCATGGCAGGAAGGCATGGCGGCAGGAGTGTGAGGCAGCTGGTCATGTTGTGTCCACAGGGAGCAGAGAGAGATGGGTGCTGGTACCTGGTTCACCCTCTCCCTTGTACTCCATCCAGGACCCCCACCCATGGGGCCATGTGGTACACAGTTAAGGTGGGTCTTCCACCTCACTTAAACCTCTGTGGAAACATCCTCACAGACAGGCCCAGAGGTGAGTCTCCTAGGTGATTCTAAATCCCATCAAGTGGCAGGTAATCATTGCACTGGCAAACTCATCCCAAAGTAGAGAACTAGGAACATACTCTAAATCCTTATGACGCCAGCACAGCTCTGATGCCAAAGCCAATGATACATGAAGAAATGTGGGGAGGGAGGTATTGTTTCTTAAGAACACAGGTGTAAGAATAGTAATCAAGGGGCTGGAGCGATGGCTCAGTGGTTAAGAGCACTGGATGCTTTTTCAGAAGACCCGGGTTTGATTCCCAGCATCCACATGGCTAACAACCGTCTGTAACTCCAGTTCCAGGGGAATCTGATGCCCTCTTCTGACCTCTACAGGCATTGCATGGCACAGGTGCACTTACACACATGCAGGCAAATACACTCATACAATAAAATAACAATCATAAATATTAAAAAAAGATAATAAATATTAAAAAGTCCAGGAATATATAGAAAAACCAGTAAGTAAATCAGGACCAGGTTGAGTTTATCATATGTATGTAAAGATTGGCTTAGTAGTCACTGATTTTAAAACCAGCAAGTATAATTTAACAAAGCAACACCAGACAGGAGGAAAAGCCCCATGTGGTCATTTTAATAGGTGCATTAAAATCATTTTAAAATTTAGCTGCGTGATACAGACTCTGAGCAAATCAGGAGTGAAATGGAATTTCCCTAACAGTGTGCATGATGGTGGAACAGTTAGTATTTTCCACTCAGGTTCAGGCCAGAACAAAGCGACCATTACCACATGTTCTTTTTAGCATTGCTCTAGCTAGGAGGTCAGATAAAAAAGGCAACACGAGACGGTTTTAAAAGCTGGAAGGAGGAAGCCTTACTATGCATCTGCTGTGATGGTGGTGTGGCTTCCAGTCTGTTCCCTAGCACAGACTGGGTAATGTCAGTTCTAGAGGCAGGAAAGCGAGTTCTGTGGGGTTTTTGTGTCTGGTGAGGCCCCCGTCCTTGATCCCAGATGGCACCTTCACAGCCATGTCATCAAACAGTGAATGTCACAGAAAGGAGGTGACGTCACGCCTCTTGTAAAGTCTTCAATCTCATTACTTCTCAGAGCCGATAAGCCAGTTTCTCCACGTCTCTAGATACCAAGTCAACACAGAGAAATAGCTTCTGCTTTAGGTATTAGCAATGGACAATTGAAAAGTGAAAAACTTTAAAATAGCATTTGTAATACAACACTGAAAATTAAATGTGGGTAAACATAATGAAAGTTATGTAAGATTTCAGCTCTGAAACTGCAAAGCCTTGCTGAGAAAAGTTAAAGGAGAGACGAGGAAATGGAGGGACGATTGCATCGATCAGAACATCGAGGAAGCAAATGTGAGCATCCTGGAATTCCAGTGAACTTTTGCTTGATGGACCTCAGCAGTGATTCTGTTAGACATGGCAAAGGTTCTAACTTAGATCTAAAAATGTAAAGGACCTGGACTCATAGTTTTGCGTGTGTGTGTGTGTGTGTGTGTGTGTGTGTGTGTCTGTATATGAGTGTATATGTGTGTGTGCTCATATGCATATATGTGAGTGCATATTGTGCAACTGTATTTGTGTGCATGTCTGTGTATATGTGTGCATGTGTGTATGTGTGTGGTGCTGGAGATTGAACCTGGGGCTTCCTGCGTGCTAGGTAAGCATTCTACCCACCAGCTGTACTTGCAGTCATTGGAGTGACAATCTTGAAGAAGGAAAAGTTACCAGGTGTCATGCCACCTATGCCAAAGCTACAGCAGCTGGACAGTGAGGCCGAGGAGGAAGGCAGGACGAAGATGGAGTAGGAGGGTCCAGAAACAGCCCGTGAACACACGGTCAATTGACTGAGGAACCAACTCTCACCACAGTGCAGCAGGGAGGGTTTCAGTCACCGATATAGGGACAGTGGGTGTCCGAGGAAGAAGGGAATATGGTGAAGCCTGTATCACAGCATCCACGAAGATGCATCTGTGGTGGGCCGGAGAGGCTAGTGAGAAGTGTGGCCTCAGAGGAAAGCCGGGCCATTCCTGTGCTCCAGGGAAGAGTGTACCACCGCCCCTCTCACAATATTCAGGAACGCTTGTGCCTCTGACATTGAAGAAGTTCTGCCCATCAGAGGCACTAGTGAGAGAGACAGACTCTGCAGATGGAGGGAAGATGCATTCAAGGTGTGAACCACAGGGAATTTGTGCTCAGATAAACAAGAAAAGTCACTCAGTTGAAAGGGTAAAACACGGAAGGTGGGCTCCGGAAGGGGAATAAAGGACTAAGAACCTGTCACAAGTTCCTCAACCTTGCTCCTGCTCGTGAAGATTCACATTAAAATCACAGACGTCTCCTGACAGCCACTAGAAGAATTCCCTTTTAAAAAGCAGTGACAGAAGTTGGCTTCGGTGAGCTGTGCTGGAGCCATGATGCATCGCTGGCATTAAATGGTTCAGCTTTCTGCTGTGAAAAATGGTTTGGGAGTTTCTTAAAGGGTTAGACATAATCTACCACTGATTCGGTAGTTCTCTTCTTGGTATTCACTCAAGAGAAATGGAGCTGCAGGTCCATACAGAGCCTTGTAGATCAGCATTTAAAGCATCAGTCATTATGATGAAAACTGGAAGCCACCCAGATGCCCATCAGTTATGTGAATCAATATGGTCCAGTATGTCTGTATAGCATGCTGTTTGGTAACGGGACCGAAGGAAATGTTCAAATATGCTGCAGCAAAGAGATCGCTTAGATGCCCCGTGCCCATCACGGGAACTCCTGCAATCAGCTGTTCATGTGCAGTGTCTAGAATAGTCCAAGCTGTGGAGACGGAACCTGGATTCA